GGGGAGGATGCAGGAAAAGACAGGGGGGTGGTAACAGGCCCATAGCAAGTGACCAGGAAAAGTCAGGGATCTCACATTAAAAAATAAAACTTTTATTTACGGCACTATAGGCTCTTTCACTGCATCATCTTCTCCCACCAGGCTCTGCCCACCTACCCTGTGACTGTCAAGCACTGTGCCATTTGTGCCACCACACTGAGCCACATCTTCGTTTTCTTCCTGTCTATCACCACTGTTCAACTCCAAGCTATGCACTGCTCTCCCTGCCTCACACTCTGGGTCATCCCCCATCTTGACACCTCCCAAGCTTGTTCCCACAGAAATAGGGCACACTCCCAACTTGCAATTAAAACCCGTCCTTTTGCTCATAGGTTCTGCAAGCCTCAAGCTCCCATTGCCCCTCATTCTCAGTTCCCTAAAACATGCAAATAACTCCGAAAGTACCCAGTGCTCTAAGGCCTTACTCTGCTCCATGTTGCTGGAGTAGCTGGTGCAGCATCTGCGACTGCTGGGCATGGTGGAGGTCGCCCGGCGACATGCCCTGCCCAATGCCATATGGCGGCATCAGAGGCTCAGCCTTCATGTACATGTCCCGCTGCAGGCTGGGGTAATGAGGGTTGTGCTGCTGCTGGTGAGGGTGAGGTGGAGGTGGGGGAGGACCCTGGAGGTGGGGAGGTGGAGGAGGCGGAGCAGGGTGATCCAGGCGGGACGGGGGAGTCATGTGGCACATATTCTCAGGGGTCATGGTCCGAAGAAGGTGAGGATCTTGAAAGAGAGAAAGAACGAGGGATCTGTTAGAGCAACAGGTAGGACAACACACTGCATGTCCTAAACCCATGTCCAGCACAGACATAGCCTCTGTTCCAAATCTACCACTGAAAACTGATTTCAAGCACTCCTCTCTTCCCAGAATTGTGCCAAACCTGGTTAGCTTCATGAACCCATACTGCCCTGCCTCTTCTGCCTAGCCCTCAGCAAAGCTGAGACCCTTTAGCAACCTTGTCTCCCTTGCAGCGGCCACCTTGCCCTGTGTGGACTTCTCCTCCCAGGTTCTTCCATGGCATCCCACAGGGACCTCCAGGGATTCCCAGTAAGAGAATTGTAACTACAGAGCCTTTATCACGTCATCAGCATCATAGAACTTCACCACACACCTTCCATCAGCAAAAGGGCTGAGGGAGCTAGAAGGAGAGAACACCCCAGTCAGGCTTCCAAAAAACAGAATCACAGACTCACAGAATGGTTGAGATTGGAAGGGACCTTAAAGATCATCTAGTCCACCCCCTCACCCCCGCTCAAGCTGGGTCACCTAGAGCGCGTAGCCCAGGACTGTGTCCAGACAGCTTTCAAATATCTCCAAGGATGGAGCTGCCACAACCTCTCTGGGCAACCTGGTCCAGTGCTCAGTCACCCTCTCCGGAAAGAAGTTTCTCCTCATGTTCAGATGGAGCTTCCTGTGTTTCAGTTGGTGCCCGTTGCCTCTGGTCCTATTGCTGGGCACCACGGAGAAGAGTCTGGCCCCGTCCTCTTGACATCCTCCCTCCAGATACTTATACTCATTGATACGATCCCCCCTCAGCCTTCTCCTCTCCAGGCTCAACAGGCCCAGCTCTCGCAGCCTTTCCTCAGGGGAGAAATGCTCCAGTCCCTTCATCATCTTAGGAGCCCTTCGCTGGACTCTCTCCAGCAGTGTCCTGTCTCTCTCTCTCGTACTGGGGAGCCCAGAATTGGAGCCACTACTCCACATGTGGCCACACCAGGGCTGAGGAGACGGGGAGGAGCACCGCCCTCCACCTGCTGGCAACACTCTTCCTCAGGCACCCCAGGATCCCCTTGGCCTTCTCGGCCACAAGGCCACATTGCTGCCTCATGCTTCACTTGTTGTCCTCCAGCACTCCCAGCTCCTTCTCTGCAGAGCTGCTTTCCAGCAGGTCAGCCCCCAGCCTGTCCTGCTGCTTGTGGGGGGGTTCTTCCTCCCTAGGTGCAGCACCTTACCCTTGCCTTTACTAAACTTGATGAGGTAGGTTCCTCTCCGCCCAGCTCGCCAGCCTGCCCAGGTGCCTTGGCATGGCAGCACAGCCTCCTGGTGTGTCAGCCACTCTGCTCACCTTTGGAGCATCAGCAAACTTGCTGAGGGGGCACTCTGTGCCTTCCTCCAGGTCATTGATGAATAAGTTGAATAAGCAGCTCAAAGGTTACATTGAAGTTGAAGCAGCTCAAAGGTTCAGTCATGGATTTGTTTAGGCCCATCATGAGCAGGAGTGGGGGCTACCTGGCCAAGTCCAGATGCTTGTAGATGATGCTGGTGGTAGGTAACTCCCCCCACTCCTTTATGGTAGATGTCTTGGCAAGTACAATAACTCTATGGCTTAGGAACAGTAATGAGGCCCTGTGAGGCCCTGCTAATGTCTTGGGATGTCTGTGTGTATCTATATCAAACCACTGTTTTTGTCTAGTACTCTAATAGTTGTTTGACTGTTCTGTGCCCTTTCTCTTCTCATTCTGCATCCATCATTTGAAGAGGTGTTGATGGAGATTGATTTCCAGGAAGACCAGTAATCCTTGATTTCCTATGTAAACTGTGCAGTAGATTGGCTATCAACTTCACACACAGTCTGTCCAGGTGAGCATGTGTCCACGTGGCATCTATATAGCATGGACTTAGCAGGGCCGTGGCTGGTCAGCTGGATAAAGGGATGATCTAGGAAATCAGGGCTCTTTCACTGTACGTCTTCTGAGAACAGATGAGGCTAAAACTGGGAAGCACAAAGGAAGCAGGCAAGGCTCAGCATCTCAAAGGTCAAAGAACCAAAACTCAGAGGGCAACTGGGTCCTTAGGCTGATGGGCAATGAGGAAGACTTCCATCAATGTTTCTGATATTTGCTAAAAACCTAGGTATCTGACATGGATTTTCTGTAGCAAAAAATGTGCATTTAGAAATTCCCAGGTAGCTTGTGTTAGCTTCGTATTTCCCTTTAAATAGGAAAAGTGTCAATCACATCATTCCTGTAGCAGAAAGGAACATGCAGTGGTTACCACATAGGCCAAGAAGGCGCTACGGGATGTCAAAGGTCTTGCAGTCTAACATAACGTCAGCAACAAGGTCTGCCCTGAAGTCTGTGCTGGGAAATGCAGAGCTAAATGGAAAGCACCTGACTTCTACCTAATTTTACTGATTCTAGGCATGGCCCAGGGACATTGACCTGTTCAAGGAGACCAGCTGAGCATCTAACTGCCAGGTTTCACTGAATGCCAGGATGTACTACCCTGAATATTCCATCTGATATCCTAGGCAACAACCCAGGCCTTGACTTTCCTGAAGTCCTACTAGGCACTATACAAATACTTGTATGTACATAGAATCCCTCTGCAAAGAGCTAACATGATACAAGCCCCTGGGGAACGCAAGAAATGGGTAGCAGAATGCAGATCAGTGACTTAGGGTTTGAGAGCGCAACCAGTAGCCTACCTGCTCAGTGCCTACCCACTACTTGCGGCTCATAGGAGATCCTGCCAGAAATGATGCGGGAGAATCTGTTTCTGTATCTCAGATGCTGTGCCCACAGCCCCAGCCTGCTCTGTGCCTATAGCTAAGCCTCACTAGCCCTGATGACACAGTCCAGTGGCACAGACAAAACCAGGCTGCCCAGAAGCCAGAGGTGCCTAGAGGGACTCTCCACTTCATGATGCCAGAGCTCCTCACAGCTGTGGGACACAATATCCTGCCATGAAATAAGACTCTCATCCACCAAAAAAGCCTTGAGAAGCTAAGGATGGAACTCATCTCACTCAGCACTGGCCAGCTGAAAGCTTGATGTCTTATCTCAGTGAGTTGCCTAGTCTCCTCTGTAGGTCTGGCAGAGAGATGGACATCTCCACAGGGTGACTGGCCCTATCCTAAGACAGGTGGGAGAGATCCCTTCCTGCAGTGACTATGAAGGAGGGCCCAGAAAAATGCCTTTGGTGTCAACACTTCACTGCTGGAGAGTGACTGTTAGGTGAGGTGAACCCTCTTCTCAATGACTCATGCAAGCTCACACAGGGAACCTGGAACAGAGCAAGGCTTTGAACCTACGAGACCTAAGCCAGTATCCCAAACTACTGGACCATCCCTCCCCCACAGGTTCAGCAACATCCTACTCTTTCGGCCACAGCATTCACATACCTTGCAGTCACCAACCCCCATGACTGATGATGGAGTCTCCAGAAGCTTCTCTCTCTTATCCATCATCCCACTCAACCTCAAGCATGTCTACACTCAGCTTGTGTCTGAAGCACTAAACAAAGCTTGTCACTATATTAGAATACTACTGTGCAAGGACACTCACTGTGTTCTTCTCCAATGAGAGTAGAGACAGGCATGGGAACAAGTGGAGAAAAGAAGGGATGACTGAATGATCTGAATATCTCCAGCTCATTGGCATCATCAGTGAGCATTTCTGCAGTGGCACTTACTTGTTTTTTACTTTAAACCAGAACACGACTTTGATCTCTACATTTAAATAAACAAAAAGGGTCATTCAAATGTTATCCTACCTTCCTCTTCCTCTATGTATAATTGGACCCTGAAGTGATGCCATAATCAGGGTTGATTTGACTATAGCACCATGTAAATAAATACTTGGTGTGTGGAGGTACATGCAAATCACTTTCTCCAACTCTGTTTAAGACTCCAGCTAGCCATAAGTCCAACACACAGCAATACCAGTGCTCAGCGAAGGGCTTTGGTTATAACCAAAACATTTCTGGAGGATAGAAGCGATCCTATTTGGAAGTTCTGCATAAAGCTGAACAGCCCATCTCACTGATTAATCACGTGCTGTCATTGTTTTGTATACTGTCCTTAGTGGTTTCTTGTTCTAGCTCAGAAAAGCCAAAGTGGCTGATGAACGCTGACAACATTCAATCAGTGCTCACTGAATATCAATACAAGCAATTCACCTGGCTTCATGAAAAAAATTAAATACATTCATGATGTGAGTCATCTCATGTTACAGCAGGAGTCTAAGATAGTGGAAAGGAATTTATTTCTCTCCATTGAGTAGAAAGGGGCCTGTAGAACTAATTCGGACTTCTGCAGTGAAATTTCAAATATGTACAGTTAGGCAAAATGATGGCATCCCACCATGTCTAGAAAATTTCTACAAACTAGTGACTTAACTAAAGGAAATAATATTAACAAACAATTTTCCTAAAGGAAAGCACATATCTTGGTAAGAAAGCTGGTATGCTTGGAAGACTTGAAAAAGCTCAGTGCTCATCTCAGATGGAGCAGGAAGGAATTTCTGGGTCTCTTTGAGGTCAAATGTGTTTGTATGACACTGTCAATGGAACTGACAGACTGGTCACCCTGGTGACTGCAACTGTGAAGTTTTTGTGAAGTGTCATCAGAAGTCAGCCATGATGACAACATTAGGTATCTGCTCCAAACTTTCCAGAAATCACCAGCTTTGGCATCATTCAGCAGCTCATTTTTATCTTTTGATGCACCCTAAAATGGAATGGGCTTGTGATGTAAGTAAGTGAAAAGCAAAGACCTGAATCTGATTAACTGCAATAATCTTCTACACTAGCTTCACTATCCTCACTGTAGCTCAAAATAAACAATGCAAAGAGGAGTAACATTATTCACCCAGGGAGTTTTTCATTTTGGGCAAAATCAAACTCTTCCACTATTCGATACTGCAAGTGAAGAAACAAGGTGAAAAAAATACAGGAAAGCTAAAGAATTAATGCTAACTTCAGTGTAAGACACATAGGAGAAATGACCTGACAAAAACTATAAGATGATCTATACAGGAAAATCTGTGCACAGAGAAATCTTAATATTGAACAGCCTACATCTGAGCAAAAAAAAAAAAAAAAATCCAGAACAGTGGTTGCTGAAGATGTCATGCTGAGAAAAATATGACCTGAAAGCATTTTCAAATTTTTGCATAAAAATCAAACGGAAAAAAGTAAGTGAAGATCTTGGATGTAGATGACTGGGAATTCAAGGCATTAACAGGTAGCTCCTGGAGAAGCAGGTAGTATCTAAAGCCTAGCGTGGATGTTCTAACACTTTCCAGCATGGAAGTCCTTCCTTTCAATCCTAGCATTAAAATTGAAGATCTCTATTCCACTCTAAAATCTGTATTTGCAAAACAGATAGATCGCATAGTCCTTTAAACAGTGGAAAAATGACAACATAAAATAACAGAAAAAGAACAGCTAAATTCAGGTTATCTTCCTGATAACTATCCAGAATTCAGTCCACCAAATCTGTGCCGAGAGAGCATGCTCATACAGGCTTAATCAAAACTTGGTAGAAAGCCAGGTGCTGAAATAGCTCATGTCCAGCTGACAGCACATCACCTCAGAAGCTGGGATTGAGAAGCAAGACTCAAGTTAGTCAGAAAATGTGGAGCTGAGCTACCGGATTCAAAGTAAGAGCTTTCCATGCAGTTTCTGGATCTGTGGGAAATGTGCAGCATGTTCTCCAGGCCCTCAACACTAACCAACTTTCTCTTCATAGTCCCATAAAGCAGGACTCCACTGACTTTTCTACAGTAGGACAAAGTTCATCTGTTTTCACAGCCTTTGCCTTACAGATGGAGAAAGCATGTCTGCATTAGCCTGCAAGGTCAGGTATCTCTGCAGAAATTCAGGCACTGGTTCCTGGGGTACTTGGCCTTGGAATATGAGAAGCAAAGGGACCAGGAAGGGATAGTGACTTTGTAGATGTTGCAAATGCAAGGCAAAGCGTCTTTGCACCTCCACTATGAGGGAGGAGGAAGAGGATGTGGACAACAGGCACATCTTGCTGGAGAGACAAGGTCAGCTGAATTCCCAACTCCACTGCACCGAAGCTGGTCTGAAGTGACACTGCTACTCAGGATGACCAAGCAGAGTATGTGGAAGGTGCAAGACACAAGAGCACTGGTCCAGGGCTACTCAGAGAGGAGGGAGCACTAGGGAAGGCTTGACTTATGACAAAGAAGGAACAACTAGCACAGCTTTTCCATTCACTCCAATATGTAGCACAGGATGAGATCAGCAAGGTCACTTCATATGTCCCCACCTGCTCCTTCTATCTCACCACAGCTCACAAGACAAAATCCAGGCAAACTCCACCTTGCAATCAGTCAATCTTCAGATGTTAAGAAAAATGAAGCCTGGGCATCTGATGAAGCAAAGCACCAGCAAATTGCAAGAAGGAGAAAATGCATGCAGCCTGTTACAGGCTGTTAGACTATTGGAAGGGATAGCAGGGAAGAAACCTGCATGTTCTTTACTAGAGTGCTTCCCTAAGCTGATTCTACTGGACAGCCTTGAGCCAGACACTGGGTTGGATGGACTTTGGTCATTCAGAACAACCAGTCAAGTCAGTGATTGACTGATGAGACCAAAGCACTCAACTGAAAATAAGAAAACTCCTCCCATTCTGGGGTCTGGAAAAGTGTGTAAACAGAGCCCTTCTATGGAAGGCTACCTGGGGAGGGAAGCGGCGCTTCCACATATTCACCCATTCTGCTCTCTTCAATGGCTTTTTGCTACTCACTGAGAACTCTCAGTGCCTTCTTCTGACATGCACTGTATTGTGCCCATACCAGCATACAGAGTTCCTGCTCCCAGACCAGCCTACCTTGTTCGAGTTGACAGTCTAGCTAAGCACCAGCCCACACTGCTGCTGCCCCAGGGAAGAGAGGAGTTATCTGTCCAAACGAATAGCACTAGCCCATGGGGGCTGGGG